AAGCATTAAGCAGACTGAGAAATCTGTATAGATCCTTGGCTATAAAATTGCTCAACATTCCACATTATGTTCATAGGAAAAAATTTCTAAAGTGAGATTTTTCCATCCAACTATATGAACATTTTAAACATTTTTATATGTAGTTGCTAAAATTTCCCTCAAGAAGTATTATACCAGGCTCAGAATATAGCTCAGCAGTAGAGTACTTACCTAGTCCTAGGTTCAGTCCCTAGCTCCATTTTTTTAAAAAAGGATTTTTACCTCCTTTTTAAGAAGTTCCCAATTTCTTAAAAACAAGTGAATATTGAATAATTTTATGAATATATTTTATTTTGTTATTTTCATATACAATTTTTTAAAATTATTGCTGATCTTGAATATTATCTGTTATGACGTTAAATACTCAATCCAGCCCTCAATAGCTGTGACAAATAGGGTGGAATATCAACTTTATTAGCCTTGGTGTCTGCCCAGGGGGGTGGTGGAAGACATGTCTTGGTGTGTTTTGGTGGGTGTTGGTGGATCATTGAGGTGTGACTTTGGGCACTACATATGGTCCCGGTCCTTTCCTGTTTGGCACTGCTCCCCTGCTCTGATTCCTTGCCTTCATGAACTAAGCATCTGCTCTGCCACACCCTTCTGCCATGATGTTTCTGCCCTGGAGCCAGCCACCTGTGAACAAAATCCTCCAAAACTATGAACCAAATTGAACCTCTTCCTTTAAGTTGTGGGTATCAGGTATTGTGTCTCAGTGTCAAGAAGTTAATACAATCTTTATTGTAAATATCTTATAAAATGTGTAGGCTGAGTCTCTGGAGACTTAAAAATCCTCAAGTTCAAACAGCTTGTACTTATTTGAAAGCATATGAGAATATAGATGTTACTTTGCCAAAAAATTTAAGAACATGTGGCTTATCTTGTTCATCTTTTCTAATGGAAGATAAGACTATTCATTATTTCTAGACCATAGATTATAAATAATTATGTCAACTATTTTCTAGTACTTCTTAAAATAAAGATATTTTATGAGCTCTTTAGTCCCTTGTGCAAAGTCTAGACTGAGAGAGATGTTCCTTCAACAAAGGATTATTGCACAAGATTGCAAGAATGGATTTCAAATGGCTCATAGGAACAGAGTTTTCTTTGAGATCTTGACATCAGTTTATTTTTCCCATTATCATATGTATGTCTTTATCCCATTGCCTGACAAACAGCCAAAAGTACCTTTCTTCTAAACTAAATTTTATGCAAAGGGTTAAATATATGTTCTAAACTTGTAGTGTGGTCTTCAGTGTAGATCTGAAAACCACCAGGAAAGAGGGTGTTCAGTGGAAACATGAGGTGAATTGACCTTTAATATGGATGGACCTGATCATTACATGGAGACTAAAAGTACAGATTTTTTAGTCCTGATGCATACAATGTAAATGAATCTCGAGGACATTCTCCCCAGTGAATTACACCAGCCACCAAAGAACATATACTATATGTTTCCTTATATAAAAAATATCCAGAATAGATAAATCCATGCCTGAGTTTGAGAGGATGGAGGAATAAGAAAAGAACTGCTTAATGAGTATGGACTCTATTTTGTTGTGATAAGAATGTTTTGGAGCTAGATAGGTTGCACAACATTGAGAATGTACTAAATGCCTCTGAATTGTTCACTTTGTAGAATTTATGCCATATAAAATTCATTTCAGGAAATGATTTCTTTAAAGGTCCAAGTTCTAGAACCAATAAACCTGAGATTGCATGCTAACTCTGTCATTTTCTAACTTTGTAGCTTTGGGGAAGTTATTTTAATCAGCTAACTTTAACACTAATTTTAACATTTTTACTTTCATTTTCCATTCCTTTCAATCTTCTAATCTGGAAGCAATGACTAACTGCCTACTATGTAGAGAGAATCGTGAGGGTGTTGCGAGAAGAGGCATGGAAGCCTTCGGTGCTTGGTCAGCACATCACTCTCAGGAAGTGGTAGTTACAGCTACGGCTGTCACTGTTACTACCTACTTATTGCTACTACTACTGCTAGCACCAGCAGCAGCAGTAGCAGTAGCTGTGTTCCAACCCACCCAGATCTTGGTGTAATCCAGCAACTATTTCCCATTCTGTGGTCTTGCTTCAAGAACTTCATTTAGGATCAACCCACATGATATTGACTTCTGGATGTTGAATTTCCTCAGTGGAGTCTTTATCCCAAATGACAAATTTGGGATTAAACTTGTTTTAAATTAATATCAAAATGAAAAAGAGTCTGAGGAAACAATGAATTAGGATCAGATATGTACAAGATTACATTATCAGAATTCTGGGGAGAATAATGGGCCTTGTCTCCAGCTGTTTGTTGTTCTTGTATCCTTCTTTACCAAATAGGAATCAACCTTTGGAGAAAGAAAAAAGTTATACAATGATGCATTTAAAGGAAAATTTAAGAACTGATGGATTTCACAAAGCTTCAGAGGACAGACTTTAGACATCAGTTGGAGGTTGTCATTGGTCTGCAGAGGAGAGTATGTGTTACATAAAGGTGCAGTTTGACAGTGTTATATCTGTGAACTCTCTCTTTCAAAAACACCGTATATGCAATAAGTACAAGAAAAACAATGCTCAGCAGTATTTGCTATTAGGGAAATACAAATCAAAGCATCTCTCAAATTCTATCTTACTCTAGTCAGAATGGATATCAGGAAGAACACAAAAAGCAACAAATGCTGGTGAAGATATGGAGAAAAAAGAAAGCCTTCTACATCAATGGCAGAAATGTAAACTAGTACAACCACTATGAAAATTAATGTGGAGATTCATCAAAAAACTAAAAGTAGAAATTCTATTTGACCCAGGTATACTGCTTCTAGGTATCTTTCTCAAAGAGTTAATCATATCATGCTGATACATGCATACCCATAGTTATAGCAGCACAATTTACAATAACTAAGTTCTGGAAACAGCCTAGATGCTCATCAACAGACAAATAGATAAAGAAAATGTGTTTTATTGGCTTATCCACTTCTTTGTCACTGGGACACAATATCTGACACCCACAGCTTAAAGGAGGAGAAGTTTATTTTGGCTCACATAACCAGTCTATGGTTGGCTGGCTCCAAGGCAGCAATGGCATGGTGAAAGGATCTGGTGGAGGGAAACTGGCCACATCATGGCAGCTGGAAACAGGGAGAGAAAGGAGAACCTGGGAAGGGAAATAGTGTACACCCTTTCAGGCCCTGGCCCCAGTGATGCACCTCTTTCTTTCAACAGCAAATCAGATATAAGCCCCCATAATCCAATCACCTTCCAAAAGCCCCACCTCTGAACACATGATCTAAACTATAACATATATACACAGTGAATTTTATTTACCCTCAGAAGAGAAATTAATTCATGCCATTTATAGAAAAATGGATCTCAAGTCCACAAAGTTAAGTGAAATAAGTCAAACCAGAAGGTTAATATTACCTGATTTCTTTTATATGAGAGACCCCAATTATAAATATTAAAGAGGAAAATAAAGGTCAGATGGTAGGAAATAGGGAGGTGGACTTTTTGGAAATGGGGCAGGGGACTAGGGAAATGGGAAGGGAGAAGATAGGGAGAAGGGAAAGAAGATCAAAAATTTTAAAGATATGACATGCATATGTACCAATTCCCCAAAATAAATATAAACACAGAGGATGACCAAAAAATAAAATGTTTGAGTAAAAAAAATTACAGTAAAAGATACATTGTCATTAATCCCCCTTAAAATACTCCTCTTCCTTCAAACCCGCTTATTTGATCATTCTTTACACTTTCTGAAGCAGTTCTCAAAGTCTCCTTTTGTGAGTGTCTTTACCAGGAATTATCAAATATATGGTGAATTCTGCTGCTAAGCGCCGTCTAACAGAATGGCAGACTTGTAAATACGTTACACTGTGTCTTCATTCACCTTTACTGAATTGGATGCTGTAAGTTCTGGCTTTCTTTAAAGTCAAAATACCTTGACAGGTAAATGTTTCAAATCAATTCAACGCATTGACAGTGAAACCAAAGATACTCATGAAGGAAGACTTCCAGAACTGCTTCAGAAAATGGCAAGAATGATGGGATGAGTATGTTCAGAATGAAAAACTATTTTTAGTGGCATTAATGACAATATACCTCTTACTATAATAATTTATTCTTAATTTAAACAGCCATTGTATTTTTGATCATACTTCATATTATGTACTACAAACATATACCAATAAAGCTTTAAGAGCGATACCGTGGAAGCTCTCATAATCATCAGGTGCGAGCAAGTTTTGCGTCTTATTATGGGTTAGAGAATGTTTACTTAAATGCTTTCTGTCCATTTTCTCAGTTAAATTTTTTCTTACCTCGGTTCTGTGTGGCAAAAATTATTATACCCAGCTGTGGAACATGAGGCTCAGAGAAGTGCAGTGATTTGTGTATGATGGCACTGCTAGAAAGTATAAGCCCGGAGTGTAACCCAAGGCTGCTTGGCATTGAACTGGTACACATGACCCCTTCTACTTCCAGAAGGCTTGAACCAGGTTTAATTGTTCTGCAGTCCAAGGAACTAAATCTTGGAAACATACAGTAGACACTGAATGGTTCTTGTGTGTTGCCTTCTCCCTGGGTCAAATTTCTATCTTTAGGGAGACGGTCTGGGTCTTTGGTCATTGTGTTCTTGGACCTAGAGAATCCAGTCAGCTGGGTGTCTCACCTCAGAGGGCCTTTGTGGTAGGAGGGACAAGTTTTGAACAGGCCTAGCACATGACAGGGACAGACCTGCAGACCACTACATGGTGATAGATAGGTCAGACAACCACTGTGCAGTTGCGTCACAAAAAGCCATGTGTGGAAATATATTTCTTCCCCAAATCCTGATGCATCAGCAAAGGTATGACTGGCACTGCTGTTCTTGGCATTCACTGGAAGCACCTCAGGCTGCTTAGGTAATGGACTTCCTAGGTTTGTTCATTAATGGGCTTCCTGCTTTCCCCCTCCTTGGACAGGCCCAGCTGTGAGATACAGCAAGTTCAAGATGTCAGAGGCCAGGCCACCTCCCCTGCTCGGGCAGCACACAACACACATCCTGAAGGAGGTCCTCAGATATGATGACAGGACCATTGGGGAGCTACTCAGCGCTGGTGTGGTGACCCAGCATGAGGCCAAGTGACACAGGAAAAAGGTTCTTTTTCAGAACCACAATCGGAGTGCACTTTGCTGGCAAAGGCAGTTCTCCATCTGGATCCTTCTCCCCACATCTGATGCCACTGTGAAGCAGTTAGAGGAACTCCAGGATTCCTGCCTGGCCTCTCTGGAATGACTTGGATGAATGAGTCCACTGCACTTCAAATGTACCCTACATCATTTTCCCTATGAATTTTTGTCAAATAATAGTCTGCATTTGTGGATTTTTTAAAATAAAGATTTAATTTTGTTCTCACTCCAGAGAAGTATGTAAGGTGACAGATATGTTAATTAGTCTGGCTTGATCCTTTCATATTGTATAGATGTATGGAAACAGCACATTGTACTTCATAAATACATGCAATTCCTATCTGCTAATTAAAAGTAAAATAAATTTTAAAAAGGGTTTAATTGTTTTTTTCTGGAAAAATACGCTCCTCATTCTAATTATGCTAATGACCTAAATGTTTGCCTGTCCTGCCCACACAAGTGTGAAAAAGTGCAGATCGCTTGACATTCTCTACTTGTACATAAAGTCCTCATTTAAATCTTTGTTAGGAAGTCAAAGTAATAAGCAGGATGACAGTCCTAGTGATTGATTTTAAACAGAATAACTTAATTTTGAGCTCTTGAACCCTTTATTAGTGTGTAGTTTAAACCATGGGCTTTGCTGATGTCCCTTGTAAAACTGAGCTCCATTCTCCGCTGTGGAAGTAAATATTTGCTTTATGTTGTATTTGCCTGGTGATTTCATGATACATGGCAGAAAATCAATTTCCACCAATGCGCTTGGAGTGTAGGTATCTGTCTGCGTGAGTGAGTGAGGAGTGACTCTTCAGTTGGTACCTTATTTTGAGGCATGTCCAAACACAACAGTCTTAAGTGAATGCTGAATAACTTTCCAGGTATCAAATAATATATAAATAATGACAAATAGGAGAATGACAGGAAAACATTTGTTCATTATATGAGTGCCCACTGTAGAAGACTATATCATGCCTAGTATTTTGTCAACAAATGCAAAGTACAGAAAAATCCTCTCTCTAGAAGATAAGAAGTGATTAGGATATACCTTCCAGGATAAATTGCCAAGACTAGGTACAGACCAGAGAATCATACATCCCATGACTAGTATCCTGACGTGACCTCAATTCATGTTGTTAGGCACACATATTTTAAAAGCAATGTCATTACATACCAAGTGGTAATTGAAAGCTAAGTTACAGATGTTCATCTTTCAAACAGTGATTTAGAGCTCGTATTCTTTTTGTGTTCTTTTCAATTGGAATGATTTGAGTCATTTATCCATGCTGTAAAGACCAATATGTTTCTAGAATCAACAATTTCAAACAAATAAAAAGCTTGTCTCCTGACAAGACCTCGAGAGACATTTTAGAAGAATGCTTACAAATTTTTGAAGCAATTACGGTCTCCCTTGCTTTGCTGTTTGTGGACATCCCTGAAGAACTCCTGCTGTTCTTCTATTAGTGAGAATTTCATCACACCTGTCCTTTTCCCCCAATGCCTAATTCACAGATTCATGTTTGGAGACATGTATTTCAGGTGCTATATTCACACAAAATTTCTTTGTGTTCACATAATTAGTATAGAAATCAGTAAATGATTGGATACAGAGAGCTGGTAAAACCACACATCCCAAAAGGCGGGTCTACTATTTCTCCTACTGATCCAGGTAGATATCTCAAAATATAAATTAGTGATTGAGTAGTAATTTGAAATATCCAAATAGCCATATGAAGAAAGACCCTGATCATGCGTAGAGATCAGAAAATGCTTCTAAAACTTTCAAGCCAATAAAGACATTTCAAACATTTTAGTCACCACTGAAACAAAGACACTTTCTCCAGTATATTCATATATATATATATTTCCACCTACATAGCTCAAAATGATCCAGGAGAGCTTTCAACCAACAGATCACGAACCAACAGAAAACATTTACTTTGTGATTAGTGGAAGAAATAATTCAGAATATGTTTCAAGTTCAGATGGATAATTAGTCCTGCAAGAAACATTGTGCTTGCTAAAGTTTCTAGCAATACATTCCAGATCAAATTATGCTTATAAACAAATGTGCTGTTTTAATTATCAAGGCCTATTATCTTACACATTCCTGAAACTGAACTCACTACTAAGATACCATATGCTCAAGTTCAGATTATGTCAAGGCCTGCCTGCTGGCAGGTTTGTGTCTGAGGTTGGCTTAGAAAATTCCTTGAAACTTCGTAGGTTAATCATTTTGGAATTAGGGGTGTGTCCACAAGCAAATGGGCTTCTTTCCCTTTTTTTGTTTTGTTTTTTTCTTAAACTTTTTACTGCCATGATTTTCTGGTTAATCATGTGTTATATTTTCCCAGCAAGCAATCTGATATGCAGAATGTTTCCTTAGAAGAAGAGAAATGAACATTGATCAACTTTGTGTGAATACCTCAGTTAATTGGTATGATCTTGTCTCTGATCCATTTACTGGGTTGTTAGAACAATAAAGGAGATTTTAAATAGGATGTTTCATTCTAAGACATTAAGCTACTGCACCTGGATAGCTCTGTGGAGAGAGTTTTTTCCATAAAAGAATTCACAGTCCCCACTTTGAAGTCTTCTTAGGGAAATCCCATCCATTCATACTTCAGTTGAATTTGATATTTCACACAACTCTTCTGTGTCTTGACCTTGACATGTGTATTTTAAAAACTTTACATTCACAAATATGTACTACAAAAATAATGGAGATGAGTTCAAGTCCCAAAAATAAAAGTTTAATAGATGTGAGTCTTGTTTATCCCTCTTCCACATGGCTCATCCATGGGACTCATTCTCCAGACACTAAAGCGTTGGGGAACAAATGTGAGGCAGTGAGCTGCCCAGATTGCTCAGATCATCAGCCTCTTCTCAGAAATACTCACCCTTGGCCAAGGAGAGAAGTGAGAAAAAATGGACACTCCTTGTCCTCTGTACCCTGTTGTTTTGGGTTTTTTGTAATTTATTCCCCAAGATGATGATATTCTCCTTTAGCTGGCTTCTCTTCATGGAAGAGTCCCTGTTGTAGTGAGTATTTATAGCAGGTGGCATCCTTGAGATTAAAAACGATGTTGCTAATCTTTTTGTTTTTGTTTGCTTGTTTTTGGTACCGGAGATGGAACTCGGGACCTTGCACTTGTGCAGCAAACGTTGCTAATCTTGATTGTAGTATCAGCTATCTTTAGGAGGTCAGTAGAGCAGGCTCACTCCTCTTCTTGATTTGGTGGTACCAGTACTGGTACAATCACTGTTTGACAAGGAGAATGAAGAGATTCAGAAAAAAAGGCATATACTTCCATGACAAACATCAAGAAAAGCTGAAATATATCACAGACTCTTACAATGAGGTCTAAAAGTTTTTAGGGATTGAATACAATCGTGATTAGTCTCACAAACCTAGTAAACTGGTGCTTTACTCTGGTAAGATGCTTAGATAGTTTCTCAGTGAAGACATACCATGCTAACTCCCCAGCACAAATGGCCCTGAATGTTTAAACAAGGTTGGCAGCATGAAGGATAGGTTTATGCATTGGATTAGTGGAGTATAAGCAACTCTGATACACATGTATCCCCCAACAGCCCTTCCAAAATATGTCTTCCAGAATCACTCTTCATACTGCAGACAAATGGAAGTGAATACTTTGCATTAGAACATATGTTCCACACACTAGGGGTGCAGGCGTAAAAGGGAAGATCTTTTAAAGAAAGTGATTAGCAGGAAAGGGAAAAAGCGTATCTGGAGGTGCAGATACTGGTGTGCATATTTTCTCTGCAGGTTCTAGACAGCCATGGGTAGAGGAACCCAGCCTGATATGGCAGAGCCCAGAGAGAGAGAGAGACAGGCCCTGGAGAGATCTCAAGCATTCCCCTAGAAAACAGATTTCACTCCCCTCGATTTTTCTTAAACAATGGCTCTTGCTCTTGTTTTTCCCATTCATGAAGACCTGAGGGCTAAAAAGACAAGACAGGGAAAGTTTCACTTAGAGAAGTGACCAGTTGCTACCTTCTTTTGCTGTCTTCTTTCTATTCCATTTTTGTTCCTTTCTTTTTTTCTGATTACTTCCTTTCCTACATTTCTATACTTTGACCCTCCTCCCCTTCCTCTCCTTCTCTCCATAGTGATCATGTTTGCCTTACTCTCTGACTTTCCTTCCCTTCCTCCTCTTCTTCCCACTTTTCCTTTTCATCTGGCTTCTCTCTCTCCAAACATAGACATGCACACAGACATAACCACAGAGGTATAGCCCTATGTTACCCAAATGTGCATACCTTAATCTGTGTCTGACCTTCCAAAAAATAGGACTTAGTCATTTGGAAGACAACTAGTGGTAATCTTGACTATGACTTCACCCCCACAAGTAATCTTGAATTAATCTCTGGATGGAGCAGTTCCTTAATACCTAGTGGTCCCTTCTTCTCCCATGAAACGCAGGGAAAGAAATGAAGGAGTGTTCCAGATGCCATGCAGGGCTGTGGCAGAGCTCTCAGGCTTCCTATCTCTCTGTCACAGGTCTCCAGTTCCAAAAAGAAAAAGAAAATGTAAAATATTAGAATATGGAGCCAAGACTAGCGTGTCCCAGCCACACACTTTGGAGCAAAATAGCTGGGGTGTGGCTACTGCGGTTGGAAAATGTCATCGGAGGCAGGTGAGGGCATGATAGTGGAACTTTCTGGTTCAGCAGGGCTTTGACCTTGCACTTGGTTTCTTGCTCTTTCTTTTAAAAGACAAGCTTGTTTCATGTGCAGACAGGGGCAAAGCACTTATACCTGGCCATTTCCATGAAGTGGTCACCAAAAGGATGGTGCCTTCTCCTCCACTTTGCTCTTGCCATCTGTCAAGCTAGATGATGGGATCCTCATGACTTCCTTTGCTTTCTTCTTTCTGAGCATGCAGAACACTTTAATAGAACCACCCTTTTCCTCCCTTCTTTCCTTTTCTTTGCAAATTATCCACGTGGAAGCCTGTTGGTTTCTTTGGCTCCTGACCACATAGATTGGAGGGACAGTTTTCCTGCTCCTCCTCTTCCCGCCCACACCCCTTCCGCTCACCCAGAAGTTCTGCGAAAGGGCCCAGCCTGCAGGAAGACAGTCACCCTCCAAGCCTGAAGCCAAGATGTTGAGGGGAGAGATGGGGAGATGTTCAGGCAAAACTGCCACAGGAAATGTTGTTTCTGCTCCTTTTACCTCTTTTGGAACCTTAAAGAAAAATGTGGATTTCTACAGCATCTCTTGGTATGAGACATGGCAACATGAGTAACACAATTCACCCTAACAGTCCTGGATTTATGTTTTTTGATTTTACAAAGAACTTCCTGGCTGTTTTTGATAGAAGCATTGAAATATACTGTTAACAGAGATTTTTGTTTCTTCCTTGGAGTGGGTCAGGAAAACTGTAGCTTCCTTCTGGGGGGCCATGTTAAAGAACTGCTTTTTCTGGAAAAAAAGGCAAAGGATTGCCTGACTTATTGCCTGTCATCTTCTCACTGGCCTTGGTACAGGCTATAAGACAGGACAGAAATGCTACAGCACACAAGTCTACCTCTGAAAATGTACCCTGAGAATCCTCCCAGCCTGCTTTGTGCAACTGTGCAATAAGAAAGTCTGAGTTGGCAGCAAACAGAAGCACCCCCTTCTTACAAACACAACAGAGCGGGAAATACCCTGTCACTTGGACTCCTAGCTCTAGGCTACTTTTCC